AACATTTGTGGCAGGTTATAAAACCTGAAAGAATCTCCAACCTTGCTCATAAATATGCATTGTACAGAAAACAGTGCACCTAATGTGCTGGGGAAATCAGTGTCTTCTGAGTCATTGCGGATCATTGAGTAAGAGAGAAAAACCATTCACTGGGTTGCTATTAAATTAATAGATGGGGCTTCTGCCGATTTTTGTTCAGCATGTACTAACATACCTAAAAATATCTGATTTGCTCCCACGGTCAGAGATATTCTAGCAAAGCATGATGTGAACCTGCAGGCAGCAGGGGGTGTTGAAAAATGGTGTAAATATGGAGAGTAGCTCTAATGGGGTTATTGTGAGCATCCACTGGCTTAATGTGTATGTATATTATATATGTGTGTGTGTGTGTGACTTAAAGTTATGTGTCAAGGTCATTTATTGTTAATGATGCTGCTGCTGCTTCTAATAAATAACAATAATGACATATGGAAATGGGGATTTTGCTTTTTCTTGGAGTTCCCATAAGGTACTTGGCATCTATCTACAGGTAGAAATAAAAGGTGATAAAGGAAAAAGTCAGCCTAAGCAACTAGATGATACTGTAAAATAGAGTATTGGAGTACTTACTAGCTGTGTGGCCATGGGAAAATCATTTAACCTCTCTCAGACTCAATTTCTTCACCTGTACAATGGGGATAATAAGATCACCTACCGCCTAGTGTTGTTGCAGAGTCAAATGAGTTAACCCATGCAAAGTTCTCTGCAATACTTAAAGTGCTGTATAAATGCTATTAGTATTCTTATTGATTATTATGCTAGTGGAATCGTAGGTCTAGATTTGTTTTTTTAAGTGTAAAGGCACTATGCTTAGGTCCTAGGGATAGAAATTCAAAATAAAATTGGGGAATCATGAAGCTGGCATCCATTGGATAGATCTTGCCATAAGAGTATAAGATAGTAAACCATCTAAAAATGGTTTACAGATAGATTTGATTTCTGCGAAACAAATCTAAAAAAAGTTCTGCACGGAGGCAAATATACTTCTCCACATACATTCATCCCAAGCCTGAACTATGGACAGAAGTGATAACAGTCAGCCACTCTTAATCATGGCTAGTCTCATAAAAAGTCAGGCCTGAAGTAGACATATTAACATATTAACATGTTCCCAGCTATTATCTGAACTCTGATGGATAAAGCACACAGATGATGAGTCTAGTCATTGCGTAGACAACCATACTATTATGAAAATTGGTTTTGCCTGCCTCTCACTTCCATGGAGTAGACCATATTCCATCTGCTAACAAGTGCTGTCCTAGACTTGGTAGATGACAGGAGTATCTGCTAACAGGTGCTAAATTCATGCCCTCAAGATGTGTGTGCATGAATGAGAGAGTGTGCCCACCAGCTCGGTGCTTAAATATCCCTCAATGTGGCCTTCTCTGGTAAGCAGAGAACTCCAGGGTAACCGTCTTTATGTTAAAGACTCTTACTTAAGCTCCTCCAGAGTTAGTTTAACTTGGATCCTGTTTAAAGGGAACCAGGTGGAAAAAAAGATAGAAGCCTCTTCCAAGTTGTTTCCACTTAGTGACTACCCTAATTCAATTGTTTTCACAGACAATAAACAGGACTGAAGAATGTCAATCTGAAAACTTTGCCTTGAATGGAGAAACTTCATTGAACAAGGAGTTGGCTTCCAGTTTGCACAGGCGTCAACCGAATGCTTTTTTTTTTTCATTTTCTACTTTACCCAATGGAAAAAAAAAAACAAAAACCCAAGTGTTTTTATGTGCTGTGCGAAAGGTTCCGTCATGTAGTCTGACAGTTTTATTTTTGCTATAATTTTTTTTAATTAAAGAAAAAACCCAGAGGGGGAAAAAAAAAACATAAACACTGGGGGTTGACATTTCATCTGGATGAACATTTGGATTCAGAATTTACCTGAAGGTGTAGATAGATTTTTTTTTTTAAAAACATCAAATCTGATGATGTCAAGAGGGAGCAAGCTGAGATGAAAATCTTGTCTTCCTCAATAATTAAGCTATTTTCTCTTTTTTTCCCTTCTTTAACTCTAGTGCATTTGTTTTTTATTTTTAATTTTTTTTCTTAGAAATGTTTAGGTAAGGTTTATCTTGAATCTTAATTGCCTTAATTTTAAGGACGTCAGAGGCTCTCCAGGCAAGCTGTCCACGTCTTGTTAGAAAAAAACCGGAGAAGGAAATTTGAAAAGACTGCTTTGAGCCAGCTTCAACTGGTGCAGAAGTTTAATAGACTCTGAGTTTTTAAGGTGAAAAAAAATAAACTGTACAGTTGAAAAGAAAATGTTTTTCTTCGTTTGAAGAAAATTTGTTGATAAAGGAACCGTGGCAACTACAAGGATTAGAAAAAAAAATGCTGGGACTTTTCATGAACTTTGTCTTAAGTGTTGACAGGAATCATTCTAGAAAGGAAATGTGATTGACAGGAAAGTTATTGACATTGGTTCAATCAAATGGCTGCATTCGAAATGATTTGGGCTTTGGGAGGGCAGGATGCAGATTTTTTTTTTTATTTCCAAGGAGTGATCGCTGACAAAGGCCCTTGTGCTTTTTATCTGCAGTCTTTTTTATGAGCGTTAAGAAGTTTTTAGTCAGCTTTGCTTGTCACATTGCAAAACCTAGCTTAAGAGCATTAAAACAAAAAAGAAAAAAAAAACTTAAGTAGATAGGAGCTTATGGTCAAAAAAAAGTGCAAAAAAAAAGCAATAGATAGAAGAAATTGTTGACAATTTCTGTAGTCTTTCCTAGTTGTGATCAAATGCAGCCTATGGATGGCCTATTTTATACCAAAGATGAAGTGACATCCTGACGCAGTCCAGAAGATAGAGGTTTTCTTTTGTGTTTTTTTTCTTTTTTTTTTCCTCTTCTTTAAAAAAAAATCTTTATTTGACCTACATGGCCGGACCAGTTCTTATTTTCATGTTTGTTTAACCTATATTCCACTGGTGTTTTACATACTGCAGAGTTTATAAAGAAAAGTGCACATTAGTTGGGCTTAGGAAGCCCAAACCTGTTGGGTTCAGTTGAGAATCAGAGCAGGACAAGAACTGAGCACCAACTAATGTTACCGAAAAGGCTTTCATTTTGCTGAGCTTTTCACCTATGCTCTTGTACAGCGCAATCCATAATGGGGGCCACCTCTATTGGGAGGCATTTGCCTAAAAGGCTGAATTTTCTTTCTGTGCATGTTGGACTATAAACTCTTCTGGGGGGAAAACATTTGAAAAGGTCACCTTTCCCCTTCCTCCCCTCCCTAAAAAAAGTCTGTGGAATGGTAGGTGGTCTCCTTAAAGAATGTCTCATTGTCTTTGTAAAGAAAGTCTTCCTTCTGATTTCTGTCACCCCTTTGGTTCATCTGCTCATCTTTTCCAGCATGGATAGCAACTTTGATTCTGAAATTGAAAGAAAGGGAAGGCAGAGTTGTTTCCCTTTTTATTTTTTTTTCATTGCATCTTTGAAGGCTATGGTTGCCAGAAAGAAAAGGGGAAAATTGGACATGTTTTCTCAATTTAACTCTCCTGGGCAGGTAGGAATATTAAAAATAAGGGTTTTTTTTCCTAATGGAATTCTGGATAAGCTCTTAATATGCTGGTTGACAATCAAGAGTTAGTATGATTTAAGAAAACAAAAACCAAAAGGACGCAGTCCTGGAGATCAGTTAAGCCAAAGGAGGCGGTGGATGCCCAATTAGGTCCAAAAGTGAATGCAATTTCATTAGCTGAGACACAATTGTACATGTTCTTTGAAGACATCCATGGGAAATTTGCAATGTTTTACCTGAAATCCAGGGCAGTGAAACTTTGTTAATTGAGAAGGGTTTGATGGTAGTACGGTTTTCTGAATGAGGCACTGGGATGAAAGAATTGGTGAAGCAGCTAGAAGACAAAAATAAGTTACTGAGTTGAAGGAATGAGGTAATGAGGTCATTTTGTGTAACTACTGTGAAAAAGGAAATAGTATTCATTTAAAAGGAAAAGAAGTCAATCATATCCCAATGAAATCCACTGAAATAAAAGCTGCGGTTCTGAAATTGATCTGAAAGTTCTCATGAAAGAAACACCTTTAAATCCAAGTGAAAATAATTTCAAGTAATGGTGCTTCCCTATATCTTAATTTTAATTTTCAATTTGAGGGAAACAATCCTTCAAATAATTGGCTGCTATAGTTCAATTCAGTACCCATTCCAGAGAGAAGAAGCCTGTTGGTCCCTACTATCGTATAATACCCCCAGAGGTTAAGGGGAGGGAGACGCTCTAGGTTTCCACTTCATTTATTGTCTTCTCCCTGGGTTTTGTGGGGTTTTTGGGGTTTTTATTGGCATTTTATAGATGGCACCAATTTGAGTTTTATCATTGTAGAGCTGCCCATAGGAGAGCTACAAAGAATTCTTCAAACCAGCTCCATTTATTTTTCTCTTCCCATTCTTCAAAACACCTTGTATAATTATGAATTCTCCCTGAAAATAATTGAGTTGAATAGAAAACAACCTTATTTTATTCTTTTTTTCCTTATAAATCCCCATGTGACACAAAGAAAAGTCTCATTTGCTCTGAACAATGAGATTCCAAGGTAGCTACCATGTGGCTGATGAATATGCTGAGGTCACTTCCTATTTCTATTCAAAACCCTGCTGTTTAATTTATATCTTTAGAGGTTGTTGGGTTTTTTTTTTTTTTTTGGTTTCGTTCAGTTTGGTTTTCCCCAGCAATGAAAGCAAAATAATTTTGATGTTTTTATTAAACCAATTGGGGCAAAAGGAAATCACCCCACCAAAGGTTTTGACCACTGCCATGTGTTTTGTGTTCAGATTGTTTAAACCATGCCACACTGTCAAAGATCTCATCTCATACCAAAAAGGAAAGGGAAAATATTTTTTCTCCATACACAAGTTAGCTCATACTTCTCTGTCCTCTGACCTATGAACTTTCTCGAGTTTCAAACCACGCCTGAAAAACAGCAGCTTGAACAGGTAAGCAATAGTAGGTTCCTAGCATAGGCCTTGTTTGAGCGGGAAAAACACACACAAGCGAACCAACTCTGCCATGTTTGCTTGCAAATAGTGGTAAATGGAAGGAACTCTGATATGGTAATAAACAATAGTGCAGAGATAGTAAAATTCTTTAAGAACATAATTGTCTAAAAACAAAACTAATTATCCTGTATGTTATGGGTCAATAGAGTTTCTACATTTGGCCCGCTGTTTCAATTGTCCCATTGGTCTTACATATCAGCACCAGGAGATTCCTGATTGAATGATAGAGTTCCTTAAAGTCTTTGGGCAGGAGAGCCTGATCTTAAAATATGGGAACAAACTAAAATCAACAAACCACACTCCATAAATATTTGTTGTCACATCCAAACTGTAGTACACAGTCAATGGAACACTAATTAATATTTTCTTTTCACAAAGATGATAGGTTGTCAGAGGGAAAATGTATATGATAACCGGGAGTTTCTAAATACCTTCTTATGCCTTCTAAAGGAAAGATGAGGTCACAGAAGGATTATAAGAGAACTGAATATGCAAATGAGAGTGCTGGTAGCAGAGGGTTGCCTTGGGCCTCTGGGAACTCCTGATTATATATAAGATATGAATATACAAGTTGGCTAAAGGATTCCCAATGAGTCTGATCCTAAATTTGCTCATGTTTTCTTGGTTCATTGGCTAGATACTGTTTGTCTAGAATGTTGGTGCCAGTCTTCATTAGAATCCTTGCCAAGACTCTCACAGATACATTAAAAAAAATGGTGGCCCATTTTGAGAAGCTCCCATTAGATGGAATGTGGATTTCAGGGGAACTTGATTCAGTTTGGACATCCAGGCTATATCATCATGGTTTTTCAGTAGCTTAAATGGACTCAATGAAACAGATTAAATGACTAACCAAACAAAACTAGACATGTTTAAAAAAAAAAAGTTTTGTTCTAAAGTGGGTATATGAACCATTGCAGAAAAAGAGAGCTATTCAGGAAAGAGAAAATCATAAGTAAGTTTTAAATGGTTTTTATATGAGCAAAAATAAAATGAAGGGAAATTATTTATGTATGTGTATAGCCCATTTGAGGAAGCCTCCACTGTAATAAAGCCTATTTTTAATATGTCATAGTATTTTGCCCTATGTTATGTTGTCTATGGCAGGAAAGGATGAAATTTGGGTTCTTATTTCATAGTTATCTTGTCAAGTATACATCTGTTAAACTCAACTGGGCTGTCAAGTTCTTACTGAATATTATAGGAGGAGTTAGATGACAAAATCTTCATAGGCTCTTTGCCCCTGTCCTCTCAGTTGTCCATCCTGCATCCAGACTGTAATGAACTTCAGAGAAATGAATCAATCTATCTTGATGGTGACACCAAATATGGTTTTGGAAAAGAACTTGGGTTTCAGTCAATCTCAACTGGCATTCGTTGTCAAAAATTTTCCTTAAGGTAAAATTGTTCCTATTATCGAGCTCTTGGTCAGGGATGGTTTCAGTGGTTGATCTATTGTTCATGGTAATTTGTGCAATGAGAGTGTAAAAAGTCTACCACCAAGCCCAGTGAGTGCTCATGAGCCTTCACTTAGTGCACCCACCCCCTCCCATCAAGTTAATGATTTCTTTTGTTTTAACTTGACACTTATACATAAATGCCACTGCCAAGGATGGATAATGTCAACAATGCCCTTTGGTTCCCTATCATTCCTAATTCAACATGTAGCAGTGATATAACATAGGAGGAGGCCACTTTGAGTCCTCCAGAAAACATCACCTCTATATGACCACCACCATTTCCCACAGTCCACCCTGGTCTGCCCAGCCATTGATCACATTCACTGCTGAGGCTTACTGCCATGATTTCTGATTATACAAAGGAATCCATTCATCCTCAGTTCCTTCCGTCCTCCCCTGGGCAACTGTCACTGTTCATTGTACTACCTTCAGGGAATGGTGGATAATGAAACAGAAAGGAGGTAAAACTGAAATCAGTCCAATTTGCTACTCATCAAATCATCTGATAACATGTTAGGTTGACATCTTTGGTTACAATGAGGTATATTGGGTTTATCTGTGGATTTCAGTTATCCAACCCATCTTGTTCCCTATTTACCACAGTTTGTGGAGAGTTAACTACAGTCTTTGAAGATGATAAATGGGGAGGGGAGAGAGAGAGAAGGTGCTCAAAGCATAAATGTCCATTTGGCTTCCCTCACTGTTGTGATTTCTTTGACATCTGTATACTTTTGATCAGGACAAAGATGAATCGGTCCACTTAGAGAAAAACATCAACTGTTGGACAAATCCACCTCAAATTTTAAATTGCTAAGAAGGATGCGCTTAGTTTCTGTGCTTTGAATGACTTTGCCTTCCTATATCATGGCAGAATGGTTTCTATATTCTGGTAGATCTTAATGATAGCTTCAAATGGAAATAATGCCCACTTTTTTTTTTCAGTTTTAGAGTTGGGCATCTTCTCAGCTCCCTGGTAACAGAATATTGCTAAAGGTGCTTTGTCTCACAGTAAAAAATGTTTTCATTCTAATTCTTTAGCAAAAAAGAAAAATGGACTAGTTCCTAGGCATCATGGAGGCACTTGGAAAATTATCCTTATTCAAAGGGAGGGAAAGAAAAACAGCAAAACAGAAAAACAATCCTCTGTGTATGAGAAAATCCACGGATATAATTGGAACCATAAAGCTAAGCAAACAAAAAACATGCTCGATGTTGTGTTGATGAAACATTAGCCTCTATTAGAATGGGACATGGCTTCTTTAAAGAATCTTTGCAGACCTCATGGTAACCAAATCCTAGACCATTGAACCTCTGAATGCCATTCAGTTCTGAACTTTATTTATCAAAGAGCATTTTTGTCCAGCTGTCTCTGATTGTCATGGAAAGTTCTGTAATGCTAAGGTGTTTGAGGTTTTCCTTTTTCTTTCTTTTTTTTTTCTTTTTCTTACTTTATTTTTTCATTTGTACCACAGTCCGACTAGCTACCATTTCCCCCACACCTTGGGCTTTCTGTAGATCAGTGGATGTTAGGTTTAAACTTCTGTTTTCTTTGATGAAGCTTTCAATAAAAAATGAAAACAAACCCAGGGCCTTTTGTTATTTGTGCACAGCTCTATCGGGAATCTCTTGGGCACACACAGAGAGAAAGAGACTGCGGGCTGGGGAGCAGGGGACTGAGGAATCAGAGAAGATTTAAATTAGGCATGCCAGTCCTTTCCGCTGTGGAATTTGGGACCATAAAGTCACAGATTAAGGGCCACACAGAGCCAGAGAGGTCTGGCTCTTTTTCAGACACAGAAGCTGAGGCCCAGGAGAGGCCAGAGGATCACATGCCTAAAGCTAAAGGGGGCTTTAGAGGTCACCTAGTCCCCATGCCTCCCATTTTATAGTGGAGGAAACTGAGGCATGGAGAAGTGGACTTCTTCAAAGTCACAGGGGTTAGCGAAAGAAGAGAAACTGTCCCTTCTGGGGCAGGTGTGTCCTTTGTATTAAAGGATTTCAATCACCCTAATCACCATGGGTTACGAGTTTGGAGGCATTGGAGATCTAGGATGATGGGGGTTACATTGTAGTTCAGTCTGAGTTCCTTGGGGATTTTTTTAAGTTATCACGGAGAGGAGGAAATTAAATGGATAGTGGAAAGTAGGGACAGAGAAAGGGGGTCATTCGTATCCATACCTAGTAAAAAACATTAATAAAGAAAATGTAAAAACAAAACCGAATAATGAATGAAGGAAGGAATGAATGATCATCTCAGCTTGGAGTAGGAAAATTGTCACAGATGACAAATACGTGTCAACACGGGGATTATGATGCTTGGGAACGTATAGTTTATGCAAATCACATTCGTACCAGTGATGACATTGCCAAGGTCATGTCTGACCAAGGAGGATTGACTGAAATTCTGTCAAGCAGCTACTGGACGGCCTCCAGAGTGCTTCTCCCACCTTCCCATCAGAGCCGAAGAGGAAAAGGGGACGTTTCTGTTCGCAAGGTAACTAACTACTAAGAGAAAAAAAAAGGAAAGGGAATGAACCTGTGATTCCACTGACATAGGAAACTCTTGAATGAAGACAGTCGCTGGACCAATGCAGATGGGCACTTCCACTGGTGCATTAGAACGCAGTGGTTGAGTGACTTGTCCAGAGTCATCCAACAAGCTTGGCAGAGGCTAGATTTGAACTCAGGTCTTCCTGGCTCCGAAGGCAGCTTTTTTATCCACTATACCACATTGTCTCTCTCCCTAAAAGCAAAGAGAAAAATTTTCCTTACTTTGAGACCCTTCAGAGGAAAGGGGTACCTCATTAGGTTAAATTCTCTTTGGCGTTCATTGTTCAGTTCTAGAACCAAAGGAGACATGGCCTGCAAGCTAGAGTAACAATAGATAGCATTTAATTGACCCTTTAATGTTTGCAAAACACTTTTTAAATCATTTCTCATTTGGTCCTCACAATAATCTTGGATGGCAGGTACTATTATCATCCCCACTCCACAGATGAGAAAACTGAGGCAGACAAAGGTTAAGTGACTTACCTAGGGGTCACATAGCTAGTAAGTTCTTGAGGCTGGGTTTGAACTTAAGTCTTCCTAACCTCAGGTCTGGCACTCTATCCTCTCTGCCACCTAACTATTAGTAGCATTAAGTAGCCTGGATTCAAAGAGGACTAGAAGAGCTGGGAAATGATATGTTTAATATAGTCAATATTCAATATTTCATAGTTGAAGTAATTGAAATGGCTTTGTGATGAATCCATATGCTTTTCTTATGATCAGATTGGGCTGGATCTAAGATCTGACCCTTTTGTTTTAGCTATGAGAGAGAAGGAAATAAGCATTTGTTAAGTGCCTAGGCACTGTGACAAGTATTTTATTATATTTTTAAACAAATATCTCGTTTGATCCTCACCGTAGCTCAACCCTATGAGATGGGAGCAATTATTATCCCCGTTTTACAAATGAGAAAACTGAGGCAGATAGTGGTTAAGTGACTTGCCTAGAGTTACATAGCTAGAAAGTGTCTGAAGCTAGATTTGAACTCAGATCTTCCTAATTCCAGGCCCAATGCTCCATCTACTGTGCCACAAGATCTTGGTGGAGATGAACCGTATAGATTTCTGCCCTACACCTTAGAAATCAAATTCCATTCTTCTCCCCATAGCTCCCAAAGTGAACCTTGAGGATCTCTGGGTGTGCTGAAGCCAGCTCCTATCAGCTTAGGAGATGATTGTTAAATTTTCAGTGTGAATTTTATGCCTCAGAAATCAGCAAAGGTAACAAATCAAAGCTTGACTTATTTTTTTGCTGATTTTCTGGAGAAGAAAGTGATGGAGAAAATGTCCATAATGCTGCTTAAACTGAAAAGTATGTCTTACATACATGTTCTTTTTTCCAGAGAGCTGGTTATTAAACATTTACCAGCATGCCCCTGGTTATAAATATCAAGCAGAAGTAACTGAGGCCAGGTTGGTCACTGACTTGTGAATGGTGATTCTGTGGAAAGTGGGTTACTTGGTTCTACCTACATTGTACTTTTTTTGTCTTACCATGTAGAAAAAATAACAACATAGACTTCGTGTTTTTGAACGCTTATACTCTCTGGGATTTGGGTGCTCAAAAATGAAACACGGAACTGAGTGACATCTCAGGTCTTTTCCAGGGTGATTCAATGCCTGGGGGAAAAAAAATTACATTTGGATTCCTTTAGAACTGTGACTGCTTCTGTGAAATGACTTTAATTCCTCAGACATATATTTCTATGTGTGTTAGTTTTGTAGTATTTTTCCTTGGGGTGGCACAAAGTGTTTTGCTAATCTTCAGTCCCTCCCTGGTTGCTAGTTCCCTCAATGTTCCAGCGATGACTTACTTTTAGGAAAAATGAGACTAACATTGCCAGCCTCAAAGACTTCATCCAAGAAAGCTCAAGGCAGGTAAGTTTGGAGATTGGGGCTTGGGGGAGTTGGGTGCAGAAGAGAAGAATGACCTCAAATTCTTACATCAAATTTACTTTTATGTGAGATTTCTATGGGGGCAGGTGGGGGATTATTGCCCCTGTCGCACCCATTTTACAGATGAGAATGACAGTTAAATCACTTAAGATTCTCTCTCACTGTGGAAGATTGGGATTGATTTAAAATCCTCAAAGCTGCCCACAATCACAAGGAAATCAGCCACTATGGGGGCAGTGTGGCTTCTTTACCCCTTTGCAAAATGTCAGTTGCCCCATAAATAATGAAGTTCAATTCCGTTCATTTTTTTTTAATCCAGCATCAGCTACATACCAAGCACTGGGGACATTAAGACCCAAAAAAGTGATACTACGTCTACTTTCAAACAGCTTACATTCTGTTGGACAATACAATAAGCATGCAGATATTGAGGGAAGAACACTGGTTTTGAAATCTGAGTCTCTGGGTTCAAATCCTGACTCTGCTATTTCCTACCTGGATGACCTTGGACAAGTCACTTAAGCTATTTACCCTCAGTTTTCCCATCTTAAAAAGAGAGGTTGGACTAGGAAACCTTCAAGAACACACCCAGCTCTAAAGGATCCTACATTCCACAAGAAAGGCTGTTCGTTGCGCGATAATAATAATGATGCACATTCATAGACCATTTTAGGGCTTATAAAGCTCTTTCTTTGCCACAACCCTGGGAGGAAAGTCATATTCTTCTACTCATTTTACAAATAAGGGAATTGAAGTTTGATGACATGGGCACTCTTTCCACACTAGCAGATTCTGTGGAGGTATATTTGGAAAGGGTCAACATAGAAATGAATATTTTCGGTACCATTTCAAACATTTTCAGTAACATTCCAAAGAACAGAATTCACTTCATCAGAGACTGTAGAATTAGCATTCTCTTGGTTACCTATCCCTGTATGACACAACCATAACTAGGGTTAGGCACCTGTGCCTTGGTCCCAGGGCAAAATACAAACAAACTAGAGGACACTGAAAGCAATTATTTCAGCAGGAGAAGACAAAACAAACCTAAGCTTAGCACTGAGAAGCAAGAATAATGAGTTAAAATGGGAAGCTACCAGATGGTACGCTTTCCTTTCCCCCAGCATCACCACCGCTATTCTCTCACCATCTATGGCCTTCCCAGGAGTGGCCCCACTGTTTACTATAATCTGTGTCCATAGTGCCTGGTGTCCTGGAATCTCTGTTGCCTCCCCACAAGGCTATGTGTCTCGACAGTCCTTTCCACTTGCAATTGAATTTGTTTTTAAACTGATTTGTAACTTCCCCAAACACCAAAATTTCCAATTAACAATTCTTTCAGATCACGTGCTCAAAGTGGTAAAGAACCTTCATTACAGACACATACAACCATGCCTATTTTGATCACACAAAAAAATAAGAGGTGATCAGAGCATGATATAAGTGTCTATTATTCTTTTAAATATCCTCCCAACATATCCATACCTTTGAATTATTCTTGCATGGAGGTTAACTTCTCTACAACTCTTTAAAATGGATCTCCAGTTATGGAGAAATGAGAAACTCAGCATGACAAATGAATAAGTTTTTCAAATGAAGGCAAGGGATTGAATGAAAGTTGTCGGGATTGGTTTTTCAGTGTGAAAAGGGAAATGCAACCAGCATAGGGAAATTTTTGTGGCCTCTTCCAAGGCTGATTACTGAGGGCTGTTGTAGGTAGAATTTGAAGTTATAGGAGGCAAATGTTGCTTTATGTTAAATAAATTCTAGTAACAAAGACCATGGAGGGAATGTCTATATCTGAGGAACTTCTATGAAAGTATGAATGAATGAATGAAATCGTACACCTATGAATGATTTTGGACAGGTGAGTCCTTTCTTCCATTTTGTGTTTGTAGTAGAATTCTATGGAATGGCCAGATCAAAGGGTACAATTGCTATTGTGAACCTTTTAACAGATGTAATGCTGTAAGATATCCTTTAAAACTAGGTAGATAATAATCTCTGAAAGTCATCTGGCCCAGTCTCCTGTCTCCATGGAAGTTTTACATCTAAGTCATACAATACAAATTGTTATCAGCCATGGAGGTCAGAGACCTAAAACTAAAAGGAACCTTGTGGGTATCCAGTCCAACCC